TTCAATTCGACCAGTTTTCGCGAAGTTACGCTTATTTGAAATTCACCAAATTTTGATGTAAATTTCTTGTTGCGTTAATTTTTTTGACCAGTGTATATTATAATATAAATATCTATTATTAACTTATTTATAATCATTAAAAATCCACAATTTCGTTATTGAAATCTTACGTTTGTGAATCCTTCCAATGATAAATCCATAAATTTTCCCGCAGTGATCGTCAGCCGTCTTTGCGATCTCATTATCACAAATAACAAAACACGGCAATCCTGAGGCTTGAGAGTATACCAAACAGATTCATATACAGCGTCGCCAATCGTTTTGCTCTGAAATGCGAATAAGAGAAAAGTGCATATACATATGTTAACGTTACAAACTGTGTTTACTGGGAAGCACTCTCCGAATCGGCTCAATTTTTATCGGCAACAAAAACTATATAGTAATCTTTTTAACAGCCATACACGGAAAAACAAAACCTGACAAATAATTTCGGGTACTCACCTTATTACTCAAATATTCACCAGCAAAACAAAAAATAAACGCTTCCAAAGTAATAGCGATATAAAAAAACAGAGTCTTCACTAACATTCTGACACCTTCATCTGTACCTAGTGACTGCAAATTCAGAAAAAAAATTAGAGAAAATGTTCGATGTTTGTTATAAGTCTTCAGATATTATACTCATACCTTCGTGTATCATAACGTTTACTAAACATTTTATTCAAAGATGACCTTTTCTAATTGAATTTTTTTTTAAAGTTTATTTTTTTAAGGTAATAACGTTTACTGCACAATGATTAGTGCAGTAAAAAAATGTCAAGTATATAAATACATATAATACAACACTATAAAAATATAATACAGCACTAAAATTCAAAATTTTAAGCAAACGTTTATAGATCTCGGATACTTACAGTTACTATGAGGAATCCAATACAACATATAATCATCGTATTCGAAATAAACTGCATCAGCGCAATGTTAGAAAAAAGACTTTCAATGTTCTCCGAAAAAGCGATAATTTTATGGTGTTTATTAATTAAAGGCCTCACAATGGTAATGGGTAAATCATATTCATTATTCGTGGGACAAATCTCTCCTACTTTGTGTTGCAGAAGGTCTATTTGGCCACCAATGTGTAGCATCTGTAAATTATACAAAAGTACCTAGACTCTCTATCAATAAATATTATAACAAGTTATATAAAAACAATTTATTTAATTTGGATATTATTAAAAATATATTATATATACGAAAGAATGGATTTGCTGAAATATGTTGTCACAGTCTGACAAGAATATTTATTACGTCAGTTTTTGTGTCAATGTCGTTTAAGTTCTTTACTTGGGATGTGGAATGGGAGTTCTGTAAATTTAATCTGTACCGAGAAAATAACGAGTTTGATCAACCACATAGCGGGGATCGTCCTGATTTATTTGCGTGTAATTTGTAAAGATAATAGAAGAAATTCCATGTCAGACGTGGAGTTGGTAAGAGAAGGGACAAAGAGGACCTCCTCTAAAAGAACTCCACGCTAGACGTGGAGGTGGTTAGGGAGGGAGGCGAGAAAGGGTCAAGAGTATATGAAGGGAAAAAAGACGATGAGGAGGATGGCGGACACAGAGGAGAAGGGTCGTATAACGATGGGGAATAGGAATAAATGTTATATGTATACAATATATATATATGTGAAATTTTTCTTTTTTCTACTTAAATCCACGTAACCACTCTACTATTTAATCTATAGTAGTGCATTAAAACACAATAAAAAAATTTGTAAATGTTGTCGATCGTAACTCACCAATGTAACCATTAATGCGTCGAGCATACCTATGGCAGAGGCGACCGCCACTAGGTCAACAAATTGCACACACGCCACGATCTCGTAGATTGGCGATTCGCAGAATACGAAAGGTAACTCCATTTTTATAAGTAACTCTCGACAACTGTCAGTGTTGTGAAAGTTGATGGACGCAATGCTGTAAAGCGCCACCGCCATAAAGTAAACACCGATGGTCAATTTCGAGCAGCGATGTGCGAGAACCGCCTTGTCGATCATGTACATGTTGGAAATGTCGGAATATTCGTGCCAATCGTTGGACATTGCCGTCAGGATATCGTTGAATATTCTGCAATATAACATTTTCTAACATGTCGCAATACCGATCTACATTCGCAAGTTGTCGCCAAAAATGTGCTCTCGCCGCACCG